AAGCTGAAGAAGCAGAATTTAATATTATTATTAAAAAAAATTATTTTTAATATTAAGTGCTATTTTATTTCACCAACTGACATGCGAAGAATGTTATCCAGATAGTGTAAATTATTATTGTTTTTATTATTTTTAAAAAGATAGAATTGTGCACTGCGACCTAAAAGTTCTATTGTGCCCCAAATTATTATTATGCGAAAAGGTAAAAAAAATGTAATACCAAAGAATTTAAATTAATAAAAACATATGTATTTATATATATTAATAAATCGTTTTGCATTACAAATCTAGTGCCAGACGTGAAAACTAATAGTAAAAGCCACATAGCTCACCATACACTCAAACTTTCCGTAGGCATGTAAAATTGCGTTGACATTTTTCCACAAAATTTGTATCAAAAAATAAATTTACAAAAATATTTACGCTTTTGCAGGAAATCATGACAAGTATGTGAGTGAACAAAATATTCCAAATTACGATCGCAATATTTTAGATTTGTCGCAGAACGAAAATAGGTCAATATACAAAAATAATTTCGCTTACCTTAATTAAAATGTACACGCGTATAAAACACCAGACAAAATTATTTTTCTCATATTAAAATGTTGCTTTAATTATTTATTTAATTTTGTTTTTAATGCAGTCTTTTTTCTCAATTTTTTTATTACAAATCCTTTTTCAACGAATTGTAACAAAAGCAGCGGTAAATATTCACAATAGTTAAAGCAGTTAAATGAATTGAATTTCGAAAAATAGTAGTAGCAAAAAAATTAGTTCACAATGCTACGTCGTTTGTTTTATAGATAATTCACTTTTATTGAAGCATACGTTAAGTCACTATTACGAAATTATGTTCTAGGTTTATGGTATGTACTTATTTATATATATTCTAATGAATTCTAAAATTCACTCTTTAATTATTAATATACTCTAATTATTTAATAATATATATTATGTTTATATATAATATATGTATATTGTTTTATGTTTCTTATATGCAGTATATGTTAATAATAGATTTAATTAAACATTATTGATTTATTATTAAATATTAATTTATAAAGTATATAAACATTTTTATTAGGTCATGTCATTTGATACCAAAATTTTATTTATGTTTATTAAACATTATAATAATATTTTTATATAATAAAAAGAAGTTTTTAATTTTAACTTAAACTTTACTCAACTATTGTCTTTTTGAAACTAAAATATATTTCACTCTTTCGCTAAGACTAAAGTAATTTCGCTTGCTCTTTAGTTTAATTAAAACTTTTCTTAGAATAAAAATTTCACTAAACTGTTCAAAATATTTTAAATTCCTTATAAATTTAATTATATCTAAGTTTCCAATTCGATTTGACAGAATTAGATTTAGAATTTGCAATGTTTTTCCTTCGTTTTTGTAAAAAAAAAAAATAATTTCAAGAAGTCTTAATGGCTGTGATCCATTCGTTTTACAGCACCGACCCGTTTGAGTTTTTAAAAGAAACTAAAGCCACAACCATTAAAGAATATATACGAACTACTTTATGTATGCAACACGTTGTTTTGTATACGAAGTCGTAAAACGCATTAATAGAATTTTCTTCGTAGTCTAAAATTAAAAATACGCATACGACATGATGATTGCAGCGGGATTTTTCTTTGCTGACAATGGAAATTGCTACAAAAATTGCTGTTTAGAGAGGTAACAGTGAAGCAATAAACTTTTTACATTCCTACTTGATATCCGAAGTCATATGCAAGTTTTATCTTCGTCCATTTGTGACATTATTAAGTTGCGTAAACAAATTTACTGTATATAAAAAATACAAATTAATTACTTCAAGTGCAGCAAACTTACACATTCTTCGTAAGGACTTTGAGAAACGATTTAATTAGTTAATTTTTGATAAGATAAGATAAAGAAAATAAGCGTAGAAAATAAACGTCATTAATGTCTTAAAACAATTTATTTATTGACTTTAAAATTGCGTTAAAAGTTCATTATTTAAGGCTATTGCGAAAACTCTATTTGCAGTATTTACATTTTAAATTAATTTTATTTATGTTCCCATTTATTAAATACAGTATTTCATTACTAGACAAATATTTTCATAGCCTGATTATAGGGAAGTGATCTGCAAGTTTTTTATTCTAATTTTAAAAACACAATGACGTAAAAAAGTTGTTTCGCTGTACATTATTATTGAAAAGAATGGATAGTGCACTACGACCTAAAAGATCTATTCGAATAAGTTGGATAAGAGTGTTTTACCAAGTCCGTTTTCTTTAAATAAAAACAGTATAGGGCTTAAATTTCTTAGTCTTGGGTCCTTATAATCCACGAAATACCCTCCTAGGTGTTTCTTCCGCTTGTGCATTAGTGCCAGGCACTCCCCAAGCACATGGTATGCAGGGGTTTCTCTCTCTTCTCTACAGTATCTGCAGCCTGAGCTGAATTGAATTTCTAACTTCGATAGGTGATTATTCAATATACAGTGACTGGTCAGGAATCCCTACTTTACATTAGAACTTAAGGATGTGATATGAAGGCGAAGTTCATTAAAAATTTTATTCAACTGATTCAACATGACAACTGTTCAGTTCAGGTTTCTAACAAAAATAACTTGATTAAAAAGAATAAAACAAAGAATTCTTAATAAACCAACAAATAAGAATTTAAACAATTTACTTGTTACTATAATTGCTAGGGTAACACTAGAGCAAGTGTGTTTTGTTAATATTCCACATGATTTTCAATGCAGCTCAAACCATGGCGCTTTTGTCTTTAAATGGTATCTTAACAGTTGCAAAGAAGTATACAAAGTATGTGTGCTGCAGAAATATATATATAACAATTACTTCATTTCAATTTTGCACAAAATCTATAATACATTGAAGTTACTGAATTCATTTAAAAATCTTTCATATTTAAGGAAAATTTTAAATAAAAGCCATTAAGTGTTTTTGTTTATGTAGTGCTTGATTTTCAAGGCTTCATTGCAAAAAATCGTTCGTTTAAAAAATTTATTTTTTCAAAACAATAAAAAAACCAGAAATCAGTTTTAATATACAACGATTTTAGCAAACGCAGTTGAGCAAAAGAGCAATTTTAATACAGTTTCTGATTTTTATATTAAAATTATTTATCAAACGCGCTTAATATAACGAAGATAAAAGAATAAAATAATTAATGAAGTTATCTATATATAATATAATTAAAATAATTTTTGGTTTAAAAAAGAAATGTGCACTGCTTTAAACAAATATTGTTCATATATATTATATACAGTTGTCTCATATTTATTTGTGTCATAAGATTTTTTTTTTGTTGATATATATTTTATTTATTTATTTATTTTTTTTTTTTTTTGTTGGATTTTAAATAAACTATTCTAAGCAGAAATAATTATAACGAATAATATGTTTATAGTACATTCACACTGTCTCATTTAGGCAATTGCTCATTTATATTAATGAGAAAACGTTCACATTATAATGAGCTCATTTATGTAGTTGATGGAACTTTTATAAACTTTTTAAACTTCACTTAACAATATATCACATTAAAAAATTTAATATATTTTATATAACATTTACATTGAATTGTTATATATGAATACTTTCCTCCTCAGAGCTGGAGCTCAAAACTCAGCTGTTGCTTATTAACGTTTCATATATAAAACATATGAGAGTTATTTCAAACTTTGGTGATTTCTCTTGTGGAAAATTTATTTTTAAAGGTTTCACTCGACAATTTCCGCCTTAAATGAGCTGATTTACTGATAATAAGCTCATTTATATGAAAGATTTTTGTATGGTAAAACATCCACATTAGTGATTATAATGAGCAAAACCGACTATATGAAACAGTGTGAATGTGCCATTACACGTATAATAATCGAACCTTATTAACACATTTTTATATGAATTATGTGTGCGAATTGAGACTTATTTCTGCGAGTCAATAAAATAGTGTAAAGGTATAACGACCAAACTGCAATCTACTTCATACTTTTTATTGACTAAACTGACGAATATTGCGCACCATAAATGTAGAGGGTAAATTTTATTAAACATTTTGTTGATTTTCATGCTTAATGTATCTTCATTACTACTTTAAAACTAGTTTTGTAATCAATTTTAAGAACGTTTATGAATAAAAGTATACCTAAAAATGATTTTTTATACAAAAATGAATATTAAACTAATGGAACTTATGGAAGACTTAAGTGTTTAAGCCTTAAACAATTCTAAATATTCGACTAATTAAGGACTAACACTAACTATTACTCTCTAGTCTATACATCTGTGGCAAATTCGTCCCTAGTCACACATCTTCATGCATAATTATCTTCGCAAACTGTTTAATTATTTATAGTTATACAAGTTGTAGTTATCCACAAACGCATACAAATACTCGTATATGCAATTTGAGATAAGTTTCTATCTATATTAAATATACATATATATTTTGTAAAAAAATAATATATATATCTATTGAAATATATTTAAATTTTTAATACATAATATGTATATATATAGCTTTGATATAGATTTTTTAATTATCATTTACAATTTAATAACATATTCTAGAGAATGCTAAATAATAGCATTCGGTTACATATATAGTTGCATACAATAAATTACACGCAATAGAAATAAACCTAATCATATACTCTCTTAAAGTTAAAAAATTAAACGTATTAATTTCACAGTACATTTTATCTGAAATTATAATTATAATATATATCACTTCATTATATGCAATGCTATAAAATACATTTTTTTAGATGCATCATTAACATACATCGTTAACAATTTTTAAATAAATCTTCATAAATATTTCCACAATTTTGTTACTTCTTGTATATGTGTCAACTGCCCTCTATGCATGAATTAATTTAAACGTATATTTAAAATACAACTCTGGTCATAATAATCCACAAAGAAACAAGCATAGTTTACTTTTTCGAATTTCGAACTATTTTCAACCAATCAAAATTCTTCGTAGTAGGCGTCGTCATAGACAAGAAAATAGTATAAATACGAGTTAGAAAGAAATTTTAGTTCATATTCGATAACAGTTTGGTAAGCTGCATTACAGGCCACGCCGAACGGATCGTAAACCTAAAAAACTTTAATTTGTGAACTTGTGTGAAAAAATTTAAAAAGACTCAAAATGGTAAGTGAAAATTAACTGGAAGTGTGTGTGAATAAGTGTTAAATTATTGTGTAAAAAATTTGCCGGCATATTTCTTCAAAATTTTTGGAAAGATTTTAAGTAATTTGATTGTAATTATTTAATGAATTATTTGTGCGTTCATTGGTGACGTCATCTTGATACATGGTTAAGCATGCTAAATATCAAAATGGAAGACTCCTTTAGGTCTACCTTTTTATATAAATAATATAATAAAAGAAATCTAATAAAATTCAGTTTTTTTTTTTTGTTTTTTAATTAAAAACAAATTTGATAAATAAAACTCATGTGCGGCTTCTTGCCGGTTCGCAGCCGCACCCTTTCTGTTGGCGTCGCCATTAAAACTTATCGATTTTTTTGTATGCGTCAGACAATAAAAAAAAATATTTTTGACGTAAAAAAATTTTCAATGTAAAAACTTTTTTTGGTAATATCGAAATTATAAGACGTTAACACGATTTCTCTTTTTTATTTTTTTTTATCTTTAGCGTGAATGTATCTCCATCCATGTTGGCCAAGCTGGCGTACAAATCGGTAACGCCTGCTGGGAGTTATACTGTTTGGAACATGGTATCCAACCTGATGGTCAGATGCCATCTGATAAGACTGTCGGCGGTGGTGACGACTCCTTCAACACGTTCTTTAGCGAGACTGGTGCTGGCAAGCATGTTCCACGTGCAGTTTTCGTCGATTTGGAACCAACCGTAGTTGACGAAGTCCGCACCGGTACCTATCGCCAACTGTTTCATCCAGAACAATTAATCACTGGCAAAGAAGATGCTGCCAATAACTATGCACGTGGTCACTATACAATTGGTAAAGAAATTGTTGACTTGGTTCTGGATCGCATACGTAAATTGGCTGATCAGTGCACAGGTCTTCAAGGTTTCCTAATTTTCCACTCGTTCGGTGGCGGCACTGGTTCTGGTTTTACCTCATTGTTGATGGAACGTTTGTCTGTTGATTATGGCAAGAAATCAAAATTGGAATTTGCCATCTATCCAGCACCTCAAGTATCAACAGCAGTCGTTGAACCATACAACTCTATCCTAACCACTCACACAACTTTGGAACATTCCGATTGTGCTTTCATGGTTGACAATGAGGCTATCTATGATATTTGCCGTCGTAATTTGGACATTGAACGCCCAACTTACACCAACTTGAATCGTTTGATCGGTCAAATTGTATCCTCAATTACCGCATCATTGCGTTTCGATGGTGCACTCAATGTTGATTTGACTGAATTCCAAACTAACTTGGTGCCCTACCCACGTATTCATTTCCCATTGGTCACCTATGCACCAGTCATCTCTGCTGAAAAAGCTTACCATGAACAACTCTCCGTTGCTGAAATTACCAATGCCTGTTTCGAACCAGCAAACCAGATGGTTAAGTGCGATCCACGCCATGGTAAATACATGGCTTGCTGCATGTTGTACCGTGGTGATGTTGTACCAAAGGACGTAAACGCTGCTATTGCCACCATTAAGACCAAGCGTACTATTCAATTCGTCGATTGGTGTCCAACTGGTTTCAAGGTAGGCATCAACTACCAACCCCCAACTGTTGTACCAGGTGGTGACTTGGCTAAGGTACAACGTGCCGTCTGCATGTTGTCCAATACCACAGCCATCGCTGAGGCTTGGGCTCGTTTGGATCATAAGTTCGATCTTATGTATGCTAAGCGTGCTTTCGTTCATTGGTATGTCGGTGAAGGTATGGAAGAAGGTGAATTCTCCGAAGCACGTGAAGATTTGGCTGCTCTCGAAAAGGATTACGAAGAGGTCGGTATGGACTCTGGTGATGGCGAGGGCGAAGGTGCCGAGGAATATTAAATTCGAAATTCAAAGAATGTATTGAAGAGGCATTTGCCACCACTGCTATTTTTTTTTACTAATTTTAATTAATATTTAATCTAGTTTATTTGTTTTTTTACATTCTTTAATATAACAGTCGTTTGCATATAACAAATAAATTGTACGAAAGATTCAGTCTGTAGTTTAAAATTTTAAGAAATATACGCAGTGGATGTAAATGTTAAAAATGTCGAAAATGATTTGTTTTAATTTAGCGGGCAAAGTGTTAAGAGGGTGGGTGTTAAGATTTCATCTTTTAAAAGTAAGACCAGTGGTACATCTGAGGGACCAAAGATGATATTTAATATTACACAATGGTAAAAACTGAGAACTTCAATTCTTAAACTGTGAAGAAAGGTTTGTATATACACAAGTAAAAAAGTCTAAATGCATGGAGTTGATCATATATATTATGGAACACACTATTAATGAATATACGCTTGTGGTTTCTCTAAAAAAGCCACGAGCGGTGCTTAAAATTTGTTGATAAGAATTAAACATTAAAGTGCATCATTTGGCATTATTGAAAAACTTCCAGATCTTTACAAAGAAGACACATTTTTCATAATTACATTTGAAACGCAAGGATCCTGGTATATATATTTCACTAAAACAATAGGATATTTGCTGTAAGCACATAATTTTGGTGTATTATTGAAAAACGCCCAGCCACAGATCTATACAAAGACACAGTTTTTATGAGTACATTGGAAACGCCGAAAGGATTTGTGGATCGCTTATAAATAGGTATGTAAAAAAAAATAAAATTATTTCTGAAATTTTATAAAAAGACAAAAAGCAGGAATAAAGTAGTATGTAAACCATTGGTTCGGCTCGAGAGTCATTTGCAAAGCCAATGGTTTTGTTTGTAATTAATTTTAATTATACTACAATCAGTGATAAATTATGATAAAAGTCAAGTCATATATTTATATATGTAAATTAATATTGAATATAAATAGCTACAAAATAAAAGCATATTCCCAGAAAATTTAGTATATAAATAACAAGTGGGGCTATGCGTTAATTAGTCTAATAACGTAGGGTGTGTTCAGGCGAATACAAAACATTTGCGAGTGCGGTTTTCAACTTGTTATTGTAGCATTCGATAACTAAGTTAAGAAAGAAAAAATATAAATCTGGAATCAGAACACCTCAAAATTTAGTAATGACATATTCTAGCATTTAAACGTGTATTGGTATAAAAAAAGTGGCACATTTCTTTTATTGTGCTTTCTTTCTTTATAGCACATGTATATTCATATTTCATATTCAATTCATATTTTACTTCTGAAAATATCCACAGTTAATTTAACTCTACAAGTTATTTTTCTAATTAGATTTTCTCAGCTAGAAAAAACAAAAAATGCAACTTCACTGAAAGTTAGATTTTATAAAAGTTTGTTGAACTTTTTTCTGGATTCGTTTTGGTCTAGGTAAAATCTTAGCTGTGGTAAATTATATTTCTGCTTTCTATTTTTGTATAGCAACAAAAAGCAAGATACAAAATTACTCAACGGGAAAATGGCAAGCAACTATAAAAGTATGAAGTTTTAATTTTTTTGTGCCCATTGCATTTACCTCTCTACTATTTCTACATATATTTCAGTATACACACACATATGTATGTACATACATATGTAGTTATTTATATTTTTAATATTAAATCTTTTAAGAAATGTACATATGTAAGAAAGTTGTAAGCAGAGCACTCTTTTACAAAACATACACACATATGTAAGTGTTTGATATGCCAGTATATGAAAGCGCAGCAAGCAGAGCAGCGACTGCATACGAAGTAAGTGGCAATAGTGAAATTGTTGTTGCTTTTCATATTTTTAATTTTTACTAATTGCTATTTCTCTACATATGCTACTTTAATGGAGTTTTTAAATTGGTGGTTAGATCTGGAGTCTAATGAAAAATTTCTATAAAAATTAAATTTATTTGAATAAAGAAAACTTTATGGCGGCATTGATTAATACTCAAATAAATTTTTTTTTTAAAATATAATTATACATAAAATATTTTATAATTTTCCTTTGTAAAAAAATTTACTTAAAATATTTCTATGAACATCTGTCAATAATCACAGTCCGCTGTGCGCTTTTCTAGAAAGCATAATAAATAAATAAGTAATTTATTCCCCACCCAAGCTATTTTCGTGTGAGTCATCATTTCATTGGTACCATATTTGGTGCACGGCTTAATTCATGTTGTGTTATTTGTGTATTTGGTATACTGAGCTCTCTGCTGCATGATGACTTCATGCAAGCACGGTTGCCACTTATGGTACTTTAGTACCAAAATTGGTACTTTTTTTTTTTATTTTTTTCGTTTGGTACTCATGTTCAAGAATTGGTACATTTTTGACGACCCAACTTTATTGTGAATATCTCCAATTAATTTTTTTTATAAATGCAACTTTGCACTATTTTATATTTTGTTCATTTATAACACTATGAAAAACACAGAACGAGAAAACAAAAAGGTCCAAAAAAATTTTGGACCTTTTTTTACAGAAATGGTACTTTTTTAAACCAATTTTGGTACAGAAAAAAATTTTCAAGTGGCAACCGTGCATGCAAGTGTGTTTCATTTTATTCATTTGCTACTAGCATAAAAAATATACGCATGCGCTAGTATGTTCAGTGGGGACTAGATGGTAATTTCTCTATACTGCGAAGTTATAGAAATGAAGTATGAAAGAATTTCTCATACAATTTGTTGTTGGAAATTGTTTCTGCATTGGCCTTAAAAATATTTTCATATGCGCTGCATTTTATGCTGCTTATGTATGTATGTATGTATGTATATGTGCTTCCTGTGCCTTCCCCGTTGCAATGGCATTAGCATTAGCTGTTATTTGTTGCTATCCTTGAAAATCAATACTTTTGCCGCAGTTTCAAGAATTATTTGCTTGTGCATGGGGTGACTTTTTCTTATGCAAAAAATTGTTATTGTTTTTTGTTTTCTTTCAGGCATTTTAGCAAGGAATTGGTCTTATTAAAGAAGTTGTTGTTGTTCGGTTTGTATTTGATATGTACACCAGTATATGTATGTGTGTACATACATTAAACACTAAAGCAGATGTTTTCACTTTAAATATTTTAAAGGTATATAGATTATGTAGATTTATTTGAACCTGCTGTTTTATTTTAATCAAAAAGTAACTAAACCGGAAATATGTACATACATATTTATATGTATATTCACTAACTTACACACATATAAAAAATCATAACAGGTAAATTAACATGTATCGATTTTCGAAGAAACGAAGTCAATTTTTTGAAAAGATATAGTCGAATCTCTGAATCAGAATAAATTTACTTAAAATCGTACTTTACAAAAATATAATATATTTATGATTAGAATTTATTAATTTAATATTACATCGTTGAAGGCTTCTTCCATTGAAGTCTTTAAATGTCTACGTGATTAATTTTCGACTTGATATCAATATTGGTTAGACTTTAGAAATTGTTTATGTTTGAAGACAAAAACACACATACTTATCGTTTTCGAATTTTGTCTGTAAACAAAAATTTGCATATGTGGGTAAACAAAAATAGAATTTATCCAAAAGTGTAGGCAGTGCAGGTGCAGGATTACTTGGTACTTTGATTATCGTCTAACAATCTCAGTTACTTAACTCGACCAGTGGCTTGCTCTCACCAGTATATAGGGTATACTATTAGGTCGTTTGTTACCTAATCAGTCTATCGAAGATTCAGAAGTTCTTAAGCGCATTTCTAACTGGAACCAGAGCAAGCTAGCGAAGCTGCTGAATTTTAGTACACTAACCTATGTTAATATATAGTTCAACATGTTTAAAAGTAAGGAAGGAATTTTTCTCTTAAGTGCCTCTAATATCTTTGCATCGTTGTTAGTTATTGTTCAAGCATCTAAAATATTAGATTAATTATTTACAGCATCTTAGATATTAATAAGCCCACTTTCAGTTTAAATAAATATCTATTGAAATGTAAGGTCTTCTAACAATAATTCACCCCGACTACTGGTGGTACATTTGAGATAAGGGAATTTACAGCATTTTAGATATTAATAAGCCCACTTTCAATTTAAATAAATATTTATTAAAATGTAAGGTCTTCTAACAATAATTCACCCCGACTACTTGTGGTAGTCCTAAACCTTAAATACTAAATTTACCTTAAAATGTCTTTAATTTAACATGAAATAGTATTCTTAAATTCTTTTTTAATTACTTGTTCATTAAATTCTTTCCCTATTCCCCGCATGTACTTCTTAAGTGATTTGATTTAGTAGTTCGAGCATACTCTGAGCCCATAAGTTGGTTTATTTTTTTTTTCCTTATACAAAGTCACAACAATTCAGTATAATTAAACTAAGAAGTCAGAAGTTTCGGTTTAGTTTACCGTGCATCTACATTGGCTAAACTTTGGTATGATTTTTGCATATATTTTTACTTTTTCACTGACGCATATTAAGTTTTATTCGCAGACAAAATTTGAAAACAATATATAGGTATAGACTTTCGAACATAAAAACCTCGCTAAAGTCTAGCCAGTGTAGACATCGAGTCATAAGCAACTCACAGCTCTATTTTAAACTTTACATATAAAAAATATATACAATAGAATTCGTATCACTTTAAGATAAGGTTTGGATGAGGTAAGCAACCAAACTAAAAATCACACCTATAACAAATCTACGATATGGCAAAATATTCTGTAAATTAAAGTTTATTTCTAATGAATTTAAAAAATTATTATATTAAATTGATTGATTTTTCTTAAAAACGCTCGATTTATTCTCTAATATGGAAATATACTATTTATTTAAGATTATAACTGTTTTTTGAAGCATAAAAGATTTGTGTGTACTAGCAAATAAATTTAAATAAATTATGACAAAATCATCTACATACACACATACATACATATGTATATACAAAAAATAAATTAAATTTAATGAAATTTAGCAATGAGAAGTTCAAATTTAGACAAATCGGGCTTTGCCGTATGGCGACCACGCAAGCAATTCTTCCAACAACAACGACAAACGTCTGTATGTATGACAACATGAACTGATCTTAAACTGGTTTGAAACCGGCGATGACGTTATGGTAGTGATTGAAGCGGCTGTTT